TTGGCTTGGATCAGAGCATGGAGTTCACCGTAGCACAAAGACTACGCGCTAATATGTGCTCTTCTAATGTGTCTAGGTCCCATTTAAACTTCGATACCAATATTTTTTTTAATGATTTTCTTTTTCACCATCCGAAATGTCAAAGGAAACCCGAGTCTATTTTTTCCCAGAGGTAAAAGTTTTATCTATACACATGTATAAATTTGTCGATTCACTTGATTATTCAGCCTGTGGTAAGTGAAAGAAACACGTGATAATACTGTGACCTTGTCCATGATTGTGATTCAGACCTGTGGCCTTAGTCCTAATCCTTAGAGTAGAAAGTGGCCAGTATTACATCAGTATTGTATATCGATGACATATCTGATAACGATTCCCTTTTCATTTGCTGTAAGCAAACGGTAATCTTTGATTTTATTGTGGAATGAAATGGTCAACCAACTGGTAAAGGTACCAGATAGCTATTACGTTCTCGTTGGAGCTCTGCGTCAGTTTGCTCACTCCGAAACCCGAATGATAATCTTAGCGTATTAGGAGTCCAAAATCCTCACCACTGATGGATGAAAAAGAAATTCCAATGGTTTGATAGGATTTATACATCACCTTCCGATCCCGTTCTGTGGACACTACCAAAATGTGTGGACGGATAAAAGCTAACACCCATTACGAAAAGAAACACACGTGAGTTTCTTCTGTCGGTGAAAAAATACAGGTTCAGCCAAAATTGGTGTTAGAGACTATCAGTCGATACAGCTCTTCCGAAAATCAAAACCCACAACTAGCCGCTTAATACAATTTTCTTTACAATCGGGTTTTCACGGTCCACTGGCACATTCTGTTTCCGAGCATTCGAGTTTATTGACCATGAATTGATAATTTCATGAAATCGGTGTATCGCTTGAATGAGCCTACCTCAATCCCCTGGAGATAGTGACGAAATTCCGGACAGATTAACGCATTTCCAGCATACGCTCCGTCCACGTGCAACCAAACATTGAAATTGTCACAAACCGGTCCAATGGTCTTCAGATCGTCAAATGAACAACACGCGGTCGTTCCCAGAGTGGCACAAACCTAAAACAAATCGAACCACATGAAAGAGTAGACCAGCAACAGTAGTCGTCCAGAAGGAAATGGGGTTTTAAATTAAAATAATGGGAATAAGACCAGCGTTGAAACGGACAAGCAAATTAACCACGAAATGGACCGATTTCGGAAACCAAACGGTGACAATGATTTGGAATTAGTTTCACGGAAATTCGATGAAACTTACAAAAAATGGAATCAAACCGTTTTTGATATCTTCCTGTAAGAGAAAAGATGAGAGGGTGAGGTGAATCCAATCCGAACAGATTGTCTCATGAGCTTGTTAATCGATCTATAGGCATAAAGTAAACATATACAGGTGGTAGTAAAATTTGCTTTTCGGTGTATAACTATGATAAATACTGAAGCCTAGAGTCTCCGATTGATCCTATCATCATGAGCTTCAACCGCGTCTATGATCACCAAATGCCTTATCATAGGACGAGAGGAAATTAGACGACACAGTCTAAGTTCAAGATGGGGAATGCCTATCTAAAATAGATAACTCTCAGTGATCAGTGATCACGAAACAATGCAGACATACCGCGGATGAAATAGAATGACGATCGGCAAGCGATCCCTCGAAGAGTATGAATCCTTGCTAACCGAATGATTGTTCGAATAATATCAAGTTGACCTGAAGTTACACCAGTTGTGGATCATGGCAAAGCCTCTTCGTAGACATGCGCATTGCTGTTCGGCAGTGGTGGCGCAATGGTTTAGCCGCTGCCACCGATGTGCTTTGGATCCGGTGGTCCGAGGTTCGAACCCCGCAATCGCCACCCAACTTTGTTGTCCCTCGGTTCAATACCACACCTGACTCAGCGGGGCCTTATGTGGTTCACCACTCCAAGTTCCGAGGCTCAGGTTGCCGGTAACGATCTCTGAACATCCTGCTAGCTGTAAGTCTTAAAGGATCGATAGTTAACATTCAAAACTCTCTACGGTCTTTTGACTCTAACATTCTACTTGGGGACGGACAAATAACATCTGACTTGTTATGTGCTCATGATATGGCTTCACTTAATGATGTTTCTTCTGGTGGTGAGGCTTAATAATGTTGTTACTTTATGACTTTTTAATTTTGCAAAGATTTGCATATCTTGAGAACACAATTCGGCAAACAAGCTAGTTTCAGTGTGCCTTATTCATGCCACTACAACACAAAATATATGATTATAGTTAAAAAAAGAATAAAGTGAGAAAATGGAAAGAAATCAACGCATGCAACGGTTCGTATCATGAATCGTCCCCAATCAGCATTTGCTCGGATATTTATTGGCGGGTCACTTGTCGGTAATCCGGCCATGGGAGCATATTCTAAACGTGACCGAAGCGTTCCGACCTTTGTATGAAGGTGAAACGAGACAGACTAGACATATGTGGTTTTTTTAGCACTGGAGCCCTAGTGGAAGCAGTCGGTATCCGCCTTCTGTGTTCAAAAGCAATCTGTGCAAGCACTCAAGCTCCCATGGCCGAATTGCCGACACGTGATCCATCATCAAATATCTGAGCAAATCATAATTGGGAACCAATTGTGCTACAAGCTGTTGAGTACTTTAATTACTTTCCATTTTCCCTGGTACTTCCTTATCTGTAACTATAATCATACATATTGTGTTGTAGTCCCATGATTAAGGCACACTAAAAACGAGCTTGTTTACCAAATTGTATTCTCATTATCTGTTCTGTGACACTGTTTAAACAGTTGAAACAAGCCAATCTTCCACCTTACTGAACGAACTTAACGATTATATCAAGGATGCATATCTAGCCTTCATCAATTGTTCATATCTCGGGGTTAGTTTAAGGGAACAGTATTTTGTGGAAGCCACCGATGTACGTTCCATGTAACGGCCTCGTTGAGTTGACGAGGTATAGTTACATTCCCCCGACGATAATATTCACGTACGAGGCAAACCATATAAGCATGTTGTTGACTCAGCTAAGTTACATCATACATACGTGGTTAAAAATCCACCCCATCTATAGTACTGAGAATCACTGTGTGCCTATTTCCGCACAACTCAGTCGGGTTGGCTTTGGGGCGTGTGCAAGCCATGTATGAATCAATTGGCTGATTCGGGTTACTACGGGATGGAAGATGCTGTGCCATAAGTCAGATAGATAGTCACAAATCATTCGAGTTGGTTGGTTTAGGGGCTCCTCGTTGTACTCCACCAGAATACCGTCCACGGGCGGGGACACATCCTTAGACAATACCGGGACATCCTTACTTGAAAATAGTATGATGAACAAAATATTGGCAACGCAATAAACCGCTTTCGTTCGAGTAGCAAAGCAGTGCTCGACAGAACTTATCGGGATCGGTATTCAGCCGAACTGATTGATCAATGGCTTCAAGTGGGCAGCATCTTATGCTGCTACCCTCACGTCTGAAGCCGATTCCTGATTGGTCATACAGTGTCCTAAACGTGTACCACATTACAGGGAAAAAATAAAAGGATCAGCTTTTTCGATGCACAGAAACTAACTACGGTCGATGACTGAAGAGGATGCATGAAATCGGATCCTGAAAAACATTGACCAGTTATTTGTTCCAAGCGTTGCTTTATTGACAAAGAATTGACGAATTATAAACGGTCTCTAGTCTTATTCGGTTGGATTCCCTTAGAATGTAGCTTTTAACTCATTCAAGCACTAAATGCTCATTTTCTAGGTTTTAAAGTACCGTTTTCAGGAGTAATGACAACGGTAACCATAAACGAACCAGAATCATCGCCGAAAATGCAAGTCTAGGTGATACACAGGATGTTTGTTTCAGTAACCATACCTAACGATGAAAGCCATTACCTATGTCATTGTCCACAAAAGATGAAATATTTCTCGGTAAAGTATTTCACCGGGGTTTGAACCCGCAAACGCCTTATTGTTAAACATTGGTGTATGAAGTACAAAACATATTTCTACCTACCCTGTTCACCCCCATTTCCTCCTCTATAAACCGATTTTATCCTTTGTTCATCGCACAGTATAGGATCACTTACCTCCATGGCAACTTGCAGCGCCTCACCACGTACACTGTAATTCTCGTCCACGTCTATTTGGTGAAATTTCACCACACAAATCACACTGGCTTTTTCGACACACGAGTGAGCCTTGAAAAATTTTATTGTGACAGCGACAGCAATGGGAAGAAACGGGGTGAGAAATGCAAGAGGTAAGGGAAAAGCAATAATATTAATTGATTGATTGATTAATTGGTCGGTTGATTGGAACTGACCATCTGTCAGATTTCACGCACACTTCTCAGCTATTCCAGTCAACCATTCACTCGGAAGCACTAAACTAGAGTTTCGCTGCTATTGGAGCTTTTCAGTAGTAAATATCCATTGTCCTGTTCGGGACTTGAACTCCAGATACATTGCATTGGAAGAGTGTGTGTTACCACTGTGCCAACCAGCTCATGACGGTGGATATGCATTACTGATGAGCTCTAATAAGAGTGAAACTCGAGTCTAGTGCTTCTGGGTGCATGATTGACTGGAAGACCCAAGGAATATGAGTGAAGGTGAAGTCTAAAGAATCGCCACTTCTAATTAATCAATATCAATTATCCCATAACACTACTCGCCAGTAACTGTGAGTTGACTGCGGATCAATAATATTTGACCGTAATCCTTATGATTGTGGATGACAATATCACAGAGCACATTCAACCATAGACCATTCGCGCAGTATCGTATCGCAATGGTAGACGATTGTACACAGGTGCGTCTACGTTTCTGTCAGAAAACAAACACGTAACTAGTTTGCAAAGGAAGATTTGAAAATAGAAAAATATGTGAAAAATTGGATAAACACTGGAAAGTTTTATCCACCGCTCAGTAGTAGCAGCTTTGTGCCTGTCCAGTCAAATGCGGAACGGGGGAATTTTTAAGCACAGAGGATTCCTGAGCCCAAAAAGTGAACGTAGTTGAGACATGGGCATATCCTAGAGATCAGTCAGGAGGATGGGAATTGTCCCCGCGGACCTAGAGAGTATTACTCGGACGGTAAAAGTGTGTAAGAAACACTTCTGACAATGGTCAAACGGATATGGAGAGCAGTGCTGTGCTTCATAAGTAAATTAGGAAATATGGTGGTCGAAGAACAATGAAGAGAAAAACGAACTGGAAAAACGTAATGGTATCCAAATAGAAAAGAATACAGATTGTTTGGCGATGACATTTATCGTAAGCCACGAATACGGAAGGAAGTCTGTCTCACTTTATCAACTGTACGCAATCAGAATACGACAGTTCCATTTCGTACTAATTTGCAAGAAAACATCAAATAATTTGATAGTATCCCCTCTAACAATGGTAAAACAATCAGTGTACGAAGTTCAGACGGGTTAGGATTAGCGAAAAGAGTGAATTAACACTCGAAACATTTTGGTGCATTAGGCATGAGGCCTAAATGAACAACACAGTTTGAAGTAAGAGTTTCAGTGCTGGATTGAAGGCAAGAAATGTGAATAATTTGAGACTATTTGCATTAGTTTAACAGGTGGCGGAACAGACATATCACCAAGTTAAGTAATTACCGAATAGAGAAAGCGAACGGTACCCATTCGATAAGAGGAATTCCTACCAACCTGACTAGGTTGAATCTGGTGTTTTACAACCGTTGAATTCGAGGCAATGATGAATCAGAGAACTCTAATTTGCGGAGTAGAGACGATCAACGGACCGAACCGATAAGAAGAAGAATAACCAAGATATATTCAAACAACGGACTACACCGAGTGATAAAGGAACTTCGTAATGAAGTGAGTCACACAAGATGTCAAGGTCTACAGTTGCGGCTGAAAACGAGTTTAGCAAGCTGGGGCTCAGAGAAAGTGATTGCAGACGAATGGAATTTTTTAGATAAAATGGCAGTAAGAGTGGGGCTCTTTAGGAGGTGGGTGCATCAGAGAGAGAGAGGGATAAGCTTCCGGGGACTAGCAAATGAAAGGAATATCGACAACTTTGTGGATGCAAGCTGCCATCACTTCATATTTGAGAAGTCTACACTACATTCTTCATACGTATTTTAAAAATATCACCTTCTACTGAATGCTTAACCGTCGCTTCAACAAGGTTGATGAGGTTCGGGGTTAAGTTACTGAGGGACAAAGCCAATGAGATACTTCAGCATAAAAGGTTCGATATGACAAGAAAACGAATCGAATGTTTCCGTCGGTTAAGGTTCAAGTCCGTGTAGGGGCACACAACACATGGCGGATGAGTCACACAACGACGACGAAGAAATGAGCCGGTGCTCTTTGTTGCCTGATTTCGATAACCGTATGGCTTGTGTTCACCTAAACGCTTTCCCGATCGGATTCCGTTTCCTTCTCGCTTTCCGTGCATCATTGTCGGTGGTACTCGTTAGAATAATTTATTCATTGACTGACCACATTTGGAGTGGGAAAAATTTACTTGAAATCAGTGCAGATGAATGCATGAATATTGGACATAGAAATAATTCAGAATGAGATAGAGTAACCCGTTGTTGAAAACAGTGAGGCGGTAGAACGCCTGATTCCACTTTGTCGCACCTTACAGAACCTCACTGAAACAACATCTGTAGATATTGGTGGACTAATATTTTTAGCTACTTTTGCTCATGCAGGCCTAATCGGTCGAAGAAAAGGAGTTTTTAAAAGGTTACAGCAGAGGAAAGACATCATCCCCAAACGCGCCCTAACCCTCATCGTATAAGTTTAATTTCGATGGATGGTAGATATCTTCAGCTTACCGATACATTAGGGTCGGTTCATTGAGTGTGCATCCAAAGTTTCACGGAGTTGGTTTGAATTTATCACAAACTTAGATGTATACAAGTATTGACCAAACTCGTGCAACATCCTGATTTCTATTACGTTTGTTCCTCTCAATGCTTTATTCTTCCAGTCTCATTCACGGGATTGAATATGTTATTGCCCCACATCAGATGCAACATATCTGATATAATATCCACTTGTTTCACAACTTCTATTAGCCACATGCCATTAAATTGTACAATTTCGCGCTTTCAACGATTTTTGCAAATACATCAGTTGTAAGATAACAAGGTCACAGTAGAAAACTAATTGCTATTTAGTTATTAAAATGAATCATAGACTTTATACAGATATTGCACTTTCATCTCGTCCATGTTCCATTTGCTTCTCTTCAATTTTGAGCGCTGGAGACAGTCCTTTTAGGATGGAATCCACCAAGTTAACTGCCAAACAGAATTTGTAAGTTTCATCTAATACAC